TCTCAGGGGTTGGAAGGGCCCGGGAAAGACCCCCCAGCCCACCCCCCCTGCCAGAGCAGGGGCACCCAGAGCACATCACACAGGAACATGGCCAGGGGGGTTGGAATGTCTCCAGAGAAGGAGACTGCACAGCCTCCCTGGGCAGCCTGGCCCAGGGCTCTGTCACTCTCACAGTAAAAAAAAAATTCTGATATTCAACTTGAACCTCCTATGCTCCAATTTGCACCCATTACCCCTTGTCCTATCACTGGTCATCACTGAAAAAAGCCTAACTCCATCATCCTGACACTCACCCTTTACATATTTGTAACCACTGATGAGGTCGCCCCTCAGACTCCTTTCCTCCAACCTCAACAGACCCAGCTGCATCAGCCTCTCCTCAGCAGGGAGATGTTCCACTCCCTTCATCATCTTTGTGGGCATGGGGCAGGTTTCCGTTTTACTCCTGCAAAATGGTAAAAGCTCATTTTTCCTGCAGCTGGAGAACAAAACAAATTGTGAATGCACCTGCAAACGCCCGTGGTGGTGCCCCCGCCCTGCTCACCCCCCTGTGCCCGGGTTTGCGGCCCCTGCTGAGCTGGTTTTGTCCCCAGCCCTTGCCAGGGCAGGTGCTATCACAGCGCTTCGCTGTCCTGGTCCTCCTTGTCACCTTCATCTTCTGCACCAGGGTGAGCAGGGCCAGGCCAGGCAGGTGACAGAGGTGGGGAGCCACGTGCCAGGTGGCAGTGCCACTGGAGGGGTTTGCATGCTCAGTGTGACAGGGATAAATGACTCTAATGTTCTTCCCTGAACCCAGTGTTTGGAAGGGGGGGCTAAAAATAAAGATACTAGTATAACCACAACTGACGTTAAGGAGGATGTTCTGGGGGCTTTCCAAGTTAGTTGGCAGCAGTATTTTTCAGCAGATCAGATGCAGTTGACAGGCCTCTTAATCTGGCCACAGGAGAGTCCAGCTGGCAGAACACCCTGTCTGCGCCATCCAAGTGTAATTAAATAAAGATGGATCAATGATTATTAGGTTCCTCAGTGGTGTTAATTTCCTCTCACCCAAGGGCCTGACCACTCTGACTCTTAGTGACATATTTCTTGGTTTAGGATAATAAAAGTTAGGAGAAATTTAGGATGATTAGGAGAAAGGATGATTTATCATCTGAAATAGAGAAAAGGTAAGTTTTAATTTCCACAATGGGGAGGTAGTTTCTTTCTTGACCTAAAGTATTTATGTTAAAACACTTGGCCTGTATAGATGCTTCATGGACACTTCTCTAGAAAACAGTATTTACAGTGGCAAGGCTTGCCCTTTCTAACTTAAAAAGTTTTCTCAGAATTTCAATATCTACGTATGACATGGCAAATATTCCACCAGGAAGCCATGAGTTGAAGTTTAAACAGGTTAGCAGGTTCAGGTTTAAGTATGATGCTGTGCAGGGAATGATTCATCAGCTTTCACAGCATGAGATACCGAGAGCTCTGGGTGTGCAGCAAAGGTGCATTGCACCCACCTTCCCTTTTGCCCCTTTGCTGTGCGTGTCCTTATTTCTGAAAATGATGTAAAAGTTGCTGACTTGACCTCATTGGATTCTTTTTTTGTCTCCCTCAAATGAGAATTAGGATGGAGGGTAGCAGGGTGTGCAGCACAGGACACTCTGCCCGTGTCCTGTCTGCCTTGCCAAGCTTGTCCCAGCATGTCCATCTTGTGTCCTGTTTCTGAGGACCCCAATGTCTGCTTTTGTCTCATGTATAGATCCAGAGACTTGTCTTTTGGGACCCAGCCCCAGCACCTTCTTTCCTTAGGCAGATTAAACCAGAAATCTATGTTTCCCTCTGCATGAACTGTAATCCAGTTGGCAAACAGAAGAACCCAAAAGCCAGAGGGGATTTCCCTCCTCCTGCTGGGTCCTGCTGAGTCACGCTCAGTGTTACATCATGTGCTGTGACAAAACAGCAGCAAAACAAGACTTTCACCAGCCCGCTGGTCTCTGAGCTCACCAGTCACCGGACAGGGGTGACTCAGGGAGTCCTTTCTTCTTCCTGCTCCTCGAGGTTGGGGATTTCCTCCCATCAAGCCTTTCTCTGGAGCAGACCTCAGTCCTCGATCTCCCAACGTTCCCCCCAGCCCTGGGATGTGCCTCTGGGCAGTTTCTCAGCCCCCTGGAGTGGCTGGTGTCAGAAGCTGTGTATTCTCACATAGATTAACTTCAGATGTTTTCCCCTCTGTTTGCTGGAGGATCCGGGTTTTGGCATTCTCAGTGTGAAGCACCAGCTACGGGGATGTTTTCCTATGGTTCTTTAGGGATCCCATAGCATCTGTGGGATTCCTAAATCACTGTGTCAGCCCTAGCTGCTGAGCAGCCAGCTTCACAGATGGGTATAGCATAGGAACACCAGAAGTGATGGTTTAAAATTGAGTTTAAAATTTCAAGGTTAGAGGGGAAAGGCTCAAAAAGGAGCAATTAGCACCCCTGTGGTGCTCTGCTTTCCCTCTACACCCACTTTCTGCTGGGAAGTGTTAAAAAATATTTGGTGAGATGCTTGTTTTGAGCACATGATCACCAGAAATACTCCTTATGGGCAAACATTTCATGTTCTCAGGCAGGATGAAGGGGTGGGAGTTGTCCAGCCTTTTCCTTGCCTGCAAACCACGACAGAGGCTGATGATGATTTTCCAGAGAGAACCGATTCCCAAGTCATTCCTCCAGCCTGATGCCCCCATCACCGTGGGTGAGCAGGGACAGGTTTGTCCCCCGTGCACCCCCTGGGTGGTGGGATGGTGAGTGGGGA